AATAATAATAATAATAATAATAAACATTTTTATATAATAATAATAATAATTTCTTACCCGCCTCTCCCCATGGATCGGGGCAGAGACAACAACAATTAGCAAACAACATCAGTTTAAAAGACATCAGCTAAAACACATATCAGTTTAAAAGGCTCAAGACTTGCTATTTGGTTCTTGTTTCATCTCAAAGAAGTGTCCCCAGTCGTCTCTTGAGAAGTGCAAGAAGGCAGTGAAAAGGGCAGCATAAATCATTATTATTATTATTATTATTATTATTATTATTATTATTATTACCCACCTGTCCCCATGGATTGAGGTGGGAGATGATAACTAATAACCAACAAACAACATCAGTGGAAACACATATCAAGTTAAATGGACCAAAAGGATGTACACATATTCAAACAATCTACATCTAAATTTCATCATTTAAAATTCACAATTTAAAAATACTATTATTATTATTTATTACTATATAAATACAACTTTTAGTTGTTCCATGAAATGTACAGTGGGCCCTTGGTATCTGCTGGGGTTTGGTTCCCATCAAATACAGTAGAATAGTACTGTAAAACTGTGTCCCTTATTTTTTAAAAAAAGGCAAAAACAAGATTTCTTGGGGAATGTATATTATTTTTGAATGTTTCCAAACTGTGGATGGTAGAATCCATGGATAAAACGTCTGTGGACACAGAAGAATATATACAATAAATACAGCTCTACAATAAAAAGAACCAAAGTCCCGTGGGGAGACCTCCGTCTCTTGCGATGCAAAAGTCACACCTTAAAAGTTGGCACATGCCTCTTAAAAGGACTTTAAATTTAAATTTAAAATTTAATTTTTTTTAAAAAAAAATATTTCAATAGATAGGATGACATCTTAGAACTCCTGATCTCAGTTCTTCTTTTCTGGTCATCCTCTGAGCCAGCGCTTCATGTCCTGCCTCCAAAACATTGATGGTCAAGGCAGTCCATGGAACAAATAGGGGAGAACTTACCCCAAAATGGAGGGGAGAGCTGATCCTCTATTTCCAGACATTGCATTTCCTTGCAATGGTTGGTGGAGATGTGAGGCAGGGTCCTCTTTGTAGCAGCACCCGTCTTGTGGAGCTTCCTTCCGAAAAGAGGTTAAGTTGGCTTCCCACATTGTTTGCGTTTAGGGAGCCAGAACTTTTATCATTGATCAAGGCCAGTCCGTGATTTTCAGTTTTATTGCATTTTATTGTATTTGATCTGCTTTTCCCCTAGTGTTTGTTTACAATAGCTGTATTTTATTATCTTGATATCTTATTGTACATCAGCTTGAGCAGTCCTTGCAAGGAGGGGACAATTCGGACATGCATTTGGTACATGAATAAAATGTGGGGAGGCACTGGGAGGAGAATTATCTTCATTCTTTCTCCCTTTTTCACATGACTAGGTGGTGGTTGGAGGAGAATATTGACTCTGCATTCAAATAAAAGGAAGCTCTTTGTCACGTAACACATCATTCGTGAATAGATCATCTTATTACCCAAAACTCTGGTGATGGTTCTGGCTTTAAAAGGATCTGCAGCTCTCCCACTGATGGGCCTGTCCAGCAGCATACATTGATTTTTCCAAACAAGGGAAAGAGAGAGAGAAACATCAAGATTTTAAGATTTTAAAAGAGCACAAAGAAAAAGAGCAGCCACAAACAGAAATTACACATGGAAGAAGCAGGTCCATATTACTTGGCATAGAGGGCTGAGGAAAAAAGTGCTCCAACTTGATTTGTTTTTGGGATGTGTGGGATCTGTAGTTTCCCCATCTCCCAATTCAGTTTCCTTTGGGGGTGCATGAAATCTGTAGTTCCACAATCTCCAGGGGTTGTCTATGTGATTAAAATACTCCTCATTCCAGTCAAATATGATTTGACCCAGCCACACATGATTTGCAGGAATTTGGGGTGAAAAATTCAGAAGTTTTTCCACAGGAAAAAGGTTTCACATTTTCTTACTGGAGTATCCTTGAAATCTGCAGAAATGTGCATTATTGCATGTGCAGCCATCTATTTGTTTTGCATGAATTTGGATTGCTGTTCATTTTCAGAAGAGGGAAAGTGAATAGATGTGAGTTTGTACAGGAAAGTGAAGACAATTAATCGTAAATGTGAATGTGCAAAAATCTGCTGCAATTTGCATAATACACTTACATGTAGACTACCCCCCCCCGTTTGATTTTATTTGGGGATGCATGGGATTTGTAGCTTTCCCTATCTACCAGTTCAATTTCCCTTGGGAATGCATGGGTCTGTCTTTTTTTCCAGTTTGATTTCCTTTGGGTATGCATGGGATTTGTATTTTGTTCTATTTTACAATTCAGTTTCCTTTGGGGAATTTGCAGGGCAGAGGGGAATGAGGAAGAGTGGAGTAGACCCAAGTTCAGAGAGTGATTCTTTAGGGCAGGGGTTGGCAACCTACGGCCCACAGGCCACATCTGGCCCGCGGACCCCTGCTTACCAGCCCCCGCCGCCGCTCGCCACCGCCGCATTGTGGCCGCCATTTTGTTTGCCAAAATGGCGGCCACGACGTGCGCGGAGGTGGCAGCGGCGGCGACACGCGCGTGTATGAGCGCGTGCAGCCATCCCCCCCCCACCCGCTGGAAGGGCTCGATGGAAGGGACCGTCCCGAGGTAAGGAAAGGTTGCTGACCCCTGCTTTAGGGTGAAGATTTTTGACCTAGGAGTTTATATTTCAAATCCATCCCCGTTGTTAGTTCTTGTGTCCTGCTGGCATCCTTGCAGCTTGTTGTATCTGCACCGTCTTTGTTCAATGACCTACTGCTTGCTCTTTTTAGGCAGCTTCTGAAATCTCTCCAGAATATGTGCTCTTCTGGTAGTCATAACCAGGGGCACCACTAGGCAGGTGCAGGGGGTGCAGACTGCACCGGATGTACACCTCAGAACTGGAGTGTATACCCAGTACAATGGTACACCTGGTGGGTCTAACATAGTTGCTGGGCAAGCAAGAAGGGGTGTCACCTCCCTTTCTCACTTGCCCAGCAGCCTCGAAAGACCCCACACAGACCATCCCGACACCTCTGCACCACCATCCTGCTGCAGGTGCTGATGGGAGACAAGGCTTTCAGTCTGGCGTGGCTGTTCACCCAAGCAGCCGGTCCAGATCTTAAAGGGAAGGCACATACACCCTTCAACAGTGGTCTGGTTGGGGGGCAGGTGGGGGGCCAGGAGTCAGGTGAGTAAGTTAGTGGGAGGGAAGGTGAGGCAAGATGTCCCCTGCCCCATCGCCGCCGCTGCCACCACACCAGGTGACATGCACCACCGTACACTCGTCCCTCCACATTTGTGGTTTTGACTTTTAGGGATTTGATTATTCATGGATTTTATTAATATGTTCTCTCTAGGAATCTCTAGGTCCTCCAGCTCAACTCTGTGGTCAACTTTTACCATAAGTCACACTGAAGGACTTAGAGATTCCTAGAGAGAACATTCCCCAAGGCGTTGGTAGCTCCTCCAGCGCAATTCTATGGTCAATGTCTGGCCGATGTTGACCACAGAGTTGCACTGGAGGACCTAGAGCAGGGGTAGGCAACCTTTCCCCTTTAAGGGCCGAGGGACTTCAGCTCCCAGAAGCCTCAGCCATGTTGGCCAACAGTCCCATGTTGGCCAATAGCTCCTGGGATTCTCGGAGCTGAAGTCCCTTGGCCCTTAAAGGGGAAAGGTTGTCTACCCCTGACCTAGAGATTCCTAGAGAAGTGTTCTCTCAGGTAAAAACATAGTGTTTTTGTCATTTCTGGTTTTCCCACATTCATAGGGATCCTGTGCCCCTAACCCCAGCAAATGTGGAGAGGCGAGTGTAATGCCAATGGTTGGAGTCATTGTTGGCCTTCCTCTGACAACTTGTTGCTCTTTGGCTAATCCCTCCTGTACCTTTGAGAACAGAGATGGAAATCTCTTTTTCAGGCAAGGGAGTGCCATCTCTTCCTAGGTCAGGATGTGTCTGAGCTGCTGTTCATAAATGTGCATTGCAAGCTCCCTAACATTTCTTACACCAAAGAGATTCTTGCTGACGTTTAGATGGAATCTCTTCTATAGCAGTGCGAATCCAATACTTGGTGTTCCAGTCTCTGCAGCAGAAGAAAACAAGCGCATTCCATCTTTCTAACCCCTCAGGCCCTTAAAGATGATGGTCCATCTTTGAGATGGACTATCTTAAAAGAGTACTAGCTTTAAAAGATGACTGTCATCTCTTCATCTTATCTTCTCCCAGGCAAACATACCCAGCTCCTTATGCATTGTTTTCCAGACCTTTTAGAATCTTGGGAGCTTATTGCACCACTAAAATAAAGCATCTTACCTCTCCTGAATTCAATTCTAATTCGGGTGGCATCTGGATACTATGGCAGGGATTTTGCCGCTGAATCTGCTGCCCAAATACAGCCCAGGTCAAGCCCGGGTCTCTGGCGTGCTGAGCACACCTCTTTTCCAAACCGGGAGTTTTCCAACTTAAGAAAATGGCCACCTGGAACCTGGGCTGTATTTGGGCGCGGATTTGGCAGCAAAATACCTGCAATAGTATTCAATAGAATTGAATTTGGGAGAGGTAAGACGCCTTATTTAGCAGAACAATTAGCTCCTTGGTTGCTTTTACAGGAAAGAAGTTATTATGGTTTAATTGGAATCCCATTTCTTGCAATGTGGATCCATTACTTGGTGTTCTAGTGTCTGAAGCAGCAGAAAACAAGCTCATCATGAGTTCGATCCAGAGGGCTCCAAGGTTGACTCAGCCTTCCATCCTTTCGTAGGTTGGTAAAACGAGTCCCCAGCTTGTTGGGGGCGATTGGCTTACAGATTGTAAAAACCGCTTAGAGAGTGTTGAGTTCACTGATAAGAAGTATAGAAATGTAAATGCTATTGCTACTATCTGACATTTCCCCCAAATGTCCTACATTTCGCAGAGCCTACCTTTGCAATGAGGAGATCTGGTCACCCTGCTTGGTACTCTGATGGATGTGGTTAACTGGAGCCCCCCAGGGATTGAACCCAGGGCTTTCTGCATGCAAAGCAGGTTCTCCGCCACTGAGCTATGGGTCCATGTCTCTTTGGAAGATTTTCTATAGGTCTTCAGATTATGCCCAACCAAGCCTTTATGCTGAAAAGTGCCCTCTCCAGGTTCTGCCTCTATCTGTGTGTGCGCCCATGGATTTTTGCAGCCTTGGCGGCGGTGGATTATGCTCTATATTTGAACTTCACACATTTTGATGAAACGAGAAAGTGCAAGCTCAAACCGGAATCAGCGTCACACTTTTACCCAAGGAGCTGTGAAATCTGTTGTCACTCTTTGTCTGGTAGATGGAAGTGTGTTGGGTCTAAAAGAAAAAAAAATATCACTTACAGTTACTGAATGGGGGGAGTACTTGTGTATGAAGGCGTATTATGTTTTTTTAAAAAAAAATAAGTGTAGTTGAACTATTATAAGATAGGTGCTAGGATGCTGAAAATGTGGTCTTTATTTGTTAAAAATAAAAAGAAGATTGATGGGTTTTTGGGGGGTTTGGGGGGGTTGGTAAGATGAAGAGCACATTTTTAGAGACATGCTTTCTCTTTGTAGATTTCATGGGATGCAATATAACTTTTGTGTTTTTTCTCCTATAATGTTGTTGCTGCCAATATCTCTCAAGCTGGCTTGAACTCTCTGATGGAGAGACTTCCAAGAGACCTGCTCAAGTCTTGCAAACTCAAGGCAGGTCTTGCAAAGTCAGGGCAGCAGCTCCGGCTTCCTTGACAGGAGTCAATCCATCTGCAATTTGTAGTCTTCCTCTTTTACTGCTGCCTTCCACTTTTCCAAGCATTATCATCTTTTCTAATGTGTCATATCATGGCATGACCAAAATGCTTTCAGTTGAGTCACTTAGGTTTCTATCCACAGTTCAGCCTCGATTTGCTCCCAGGCTGCCTCCACACTGCGGAAATAACAAAGAAATAAGAAAGCCAAGAAAACCAATAAATGGGTCTGGGGCTACATCTGCACTGCAGAACAAGACCCAAATATTCTGTACGTGCTTGCTGCAAAGTCGTGAACTGTCAGTGTATGGATGATGGGTGTTGCAGTGATGCTCTTTGACACTCAGCAGAATCTGCAGGACAAGCTGGCTGCTGTGATCCACAGCTACTTTGTAACTCTTACTATCAACTGGCTCAGCTTCTCTTCTTTAGGATCCTGTCTTCCTCAGTCAAGAAGACACATTGTAAAGTCCAAAAGTATAATTTTATTAATGCATATAAAAGAAAATAAGATAACTAAGTAAAACCCATTGTGATAAATTTATCCAGTTCAGCCATGAGAGATCACATCTTTAACAATCCCAAAAGCATAGGATCCCAACTTGTTGTAGTTGAAAGTTAAGAAAACGTTACATACTCAAAAATTACAAGCCAAAAGCTCCATGGTTAAAACATACATAGTCATTCCCCATTTTTTAAAAAACATGCTGGCACATATATAGCATATTGTCCAAAAACTGTCAGATATTTTAGATTTAGTGGTTTCCTACATAACATGAACATCCATGCCACTGTATTTGAGATTTGTAAGTATAGTTGTAAAAGCTGGACAATGCAGGAAACTACTGATAGCAAGACAATCAACTTATATGAAACCTAGAGCTGGGGAGGAGTTCTGTGGATGTCATAGAAAGTCAAGAAAACCAATAAATGGGTCTGGGGCTACATCTGCACTGCAGAACTAATGCAGTTTGACACTACTTTACTCAGTGCTATGGAACTCTGCGATTTGTCGTTTGTTAAGGCACCAGAGGTCTCCGACAGAGAAGGCTAAGTAGCTCACAAAACTACAAACCCCACAATTCCATAGCATTGAGCCATGGCAGTGAAAGCCATGTCAAACTGCATTAGTTCTGCAGTGTAGATGCCGCCCCAGACCCATTTATCGGTTTTCTTGGCTTTCTATGGCATCCACACAACTCCTCCTCAGCCCTAGGTTTCAAAATGAGTTGATTGTCTTGCTATCAGTTTTCTTCATTGGCCAGCTTTTGCAACTATACCTACAAATCTCAAATACAGTGGCATGGATGTTCATGACTTTGCAGCAAGTACGTACAGAATATTTGGGTCTTGTTTTTTCTATCTTATTGCAACACCCAACGTTTGTTTAAATGAGGCAAATCTGTACGGGGAGGTTGCAATATTTGTCGCCATACTTCTCAGGGTTTTATCAAAATATCCA